CATGAACATAAGCAGTGCGCATGCCCATGAGTTTACAGTTGAGGGAACTCAAAAAATCTTGTATAGGCGATTTAAAACTCCTTGTTAAACCAACTTCTGAGAATTTGAGTTGGGCAAACGTGTATTTATTTGTTAGATGTCAAATTTATATTTCTGAGTCGGATTACAATACAATTGTGTGTTAGAACAACAATTGCCATTTACTTTTTTAACAGTGTAGAAACCAAAAAAGAGGAGCAAAGTGAAATTCAGGGAGGTGATTTCTGACAACATGTTATGGTATGGTTAGTGTGGGTAGGGCTATGATCACATTTAACCTGCAGGAACCCGGTTCATCTGGTACACCTGTAAGATGGTGCATCTTATGGGACAAACCCACCAATAATCACACAATTTCGATATAATTTATTTTTAGATGCTTTTGTTGGCATTTAAATTAAAAAATGTTTCTTATAAATAAACTAAATTAATTATAATTATCCTCTCTGATTACTTTATACCAGCCGTGGGCTTAAAGGCCAGATAAAATAGTTTACCACTATTATTGAGTTAACCCTTTAAAATGAGGCTAAAGTGGGTTTAAAGCAGGATTAGGATGTGATCTATAGCCCCTTTATGTCGGGGTCAATCCAGACCACCAACATAAAGCTCACAGCAAAATAACTTCAGAGTTAGCCTTTGGTATGCGTGATCCCGCTTTAAGAAGTGCCCCATACGACCGAATAACAAGAGAGAGAAAAAAACATGCAGATACTTTGGCTTTAAAATGATATTTAATGATTAAGATATGCCAGATTGTATTAAATATTAATGTGTATGACATATATAGTATATTATTAGATCATTAGTAGGCTTCTCCCGGCAACAATCTTTACAATCAGTACAATTAGAACTACATATTGCATTATTTGAAAAGTTTATTTAAGTCAGAAAAAAATTCTCCCTCTCTCTTTGTTCACATTAACAGGGAAAGCCATTTTAGCCTCACCATCTCCCACACACTCCCATCATGCAATGCATAACAAAAAAAAGTAGGAAAGGTAGAGGTTGAGGTTTGAAATCACCTTTATTTGACTCTAACAGTCAGAACAAAGAGGAAAACTAAAGATGCTTCATCCACCGAACACAAAACATCATTAATACCCCACATTTTTACAAATGCATTCATTTCCTTTGTCAACTTAATAAACTCAAATTCCACACAAACCCGAGCAGCTACAAGTCTGCTACCTTGTTTTTCATTAACATTCATATTGCTAGTTTTGCATTTCCAGCGATGAAATTTAAAAGAACATGTATCCATTTCTTCCTTCCACAGTATTTTGAACCATAAATAAAAACACATTTAGAAAACTGTACTTCAGATCGACCAAACAATAAAGATCAAAAAGAGGAATTAATCTTTTAATGAAGAAATTCTACACAGTTTCTTCCTGAAAACAATATGGACAGGAAGAGCTAGGGTCAGTGTTAAGGTGTGTCAGATTGGAGCTATGGCCCCATGCACCATCCTCCACTGGAGGTCACCCACCTTTTCTCAATGGGGGGGATGTACAGGGACCGCCACCAGCCTCTTGGGGTAGGGCTGGTGTTAGAGGAAAAGTCCGGTCACAATCAGAATTCAAACTTCTGAAAGTACTTCAAAGATGAAGTTATTACATAGTGTTTTTAATTAGGAATAATTTTCATTTGAATGTGCTTGTCATAAAACAGGACAGATGGACCCAGTATTCAAGGTGAGACAGCCAGCAGGAAAGTTCAAAATGATTATTAAAGCCGTAGGAAAGCGGCTGTTCGAACCGGTGCATTTCCGAATTCTCCCGAGTTGTGCACGACTTTACATTAGTGAATAAAGGGAATGTGATTGGTTGTTTATAAAGGGGGCGGGATTGTTGTGGAGGAAGGTTTGCAAGTAAGTTTGTTTGTGGCCGGTTTGTCTGCAGCATCGTTGCTAACAAGTTAGCAACTTAGTGCTAGTAGGTTCCTAATGGGAAATTCCATTGTGACCATGTAGCATTAAATTGGTGACTTAGAAATGACACTGTCAAGGAACGCTATGGACAGCGGAAACATGCCTCTTGGCCTCTTGGCCAGGTGTCCCTCGAAAAAGAGATTTTACCTCAAGAGACTTCCTGGTATAATAAAGGTAAAATAAAAAATAAATAAAATAAAGGGGAGGAGAGTTTAGTGTCCAAGGTCGTGGATGAGTCTCCTCGGTCATCCATTTTTTATTTAGAGGAGGAAAGCGGGGACGAAGATGTTGTGGAAGAGGACGCCAGGGCGGCAGAAGCTTGGTTTGGTGTAGAAGGCTTCCAGCCGTACATGTTTGAGCCCTTGCCTCGCAACGCTGCCAGTTCTGTTAGCTCTACGCCTGCTGAAGACACAGACGTCCATCCCTGTGAACACTGGGACGGAACTCAATGGGAAAGGAAAGGATTCTGATTTCAACCGTTGCGTATATTAGCTGCGACATATGAATCAGGATGCTATGAAAGAAAACATTTGATTGACAGATAACCGTTGATATAAGATTGGCTGAATTTAGGTGTTCAGGCTGACGTATAATGGAAAAAAACACAGATTTTAAGACAGGATTTGAAGTGAGTGAGGTGTTACTATATTTGGGCAAAAATGGCCGCTCCCAGACTCACAACGAAAATGATTATTTTTAGTTTTTTACTGATTAAGGATAAATTCATCAAATCACCACGGACATATTAGTTTTAGGAAGAAATAATGATCCATTGGTTATTACTGGCTGACCGGACTTTTCCTTTAAAAAACTCAGTCCACTTTGACACCCTCACTTCTGCCAGAGTCACAATCAGGGAAGGAAAGCCGTTCTACTCATCATCCCATTGGTCAGACTGTTAGCAGCAGATGCTCTAATGGAATCAGGCAGAGAAGCACAGGCTCCTTCTTTCAGCCCTAATAACACCAAGGTCATGGGTTCAAGCCCCATACTGGCCATTTGTTCACAAGATTCTTGGATTGCACAAGAACAGATTCAAAGAACACCTTCCTGGTCATGTAGGTGTTTGGCAAACAGAGATTAATGTACACTGGGACAATGTCATGCACTGTTGAAAGTGCATAATTGCCATTGCTTTAAAAGAGATACAAGTCCCCAATCCGCAGCCATCTTAACTCCCTCTTACAAAAATGTACCCAATCCAAAAAGGTGAACCATAGTTTCCCTATATTTTAATTAGCTGCATTGAAAAACAGATTACGTTTTAAATAGGAAATATATCATCTTGAGAAAAAGCTCTATATAAAAGGACAAGAAATGATTTGATAAGATTGAAATTGTAGGGATCTCCAACTGTGAGAAGATAAAGACGAACTCCTTAGCCAATGAACACATCGTTGCTGCCTCTACCTAGCCCTACAATGTGATGACACCCAATCTGGGTAATGTTTTAAACCATGTCCTCCTTAAATTTGGTTTCCAGTTGGCCACACCTAACTCTGTCATCAAGACTAGAGATCTACTTACATACCCCACCAAAACCTGTGCAATGCCCTCCTCTCACAATCTTTCAGAGAAGTTCATTGTGCTGTGGAATATGAATGGACAGTGATGACACCTTGCCTTGATATGAAGCAATTACACAAGGTGTGAAAGCATCAATGATTACTGGTGTCTTTGAAAAGGGCAAAAGTAGTCCCAAACACAGCTCCTTTTGAATGATTGTTGTAGATATAGTTTAATTTAAACTAGTGCTGTCAATCGATTAAATTTTTTTTAACGCGATTAATCGCATTTTAATCGCAAATTTTTTTTCTGATTGAAAATCATTTAAATACTCTCGATGACATACAAAAAATACATACAGGCTAGGTTTGTGCCAATGTTCTTTTTTTTAAATGAAAACAGGTCACAGACACTGATTTATGCCATAGAAACATATGGCAAGAAGATGGGGAGGCATGTAGCAAAAAATAACAAATAAAAAAGGCCCTGAAAACAGGCTGATGTAAAAGACAGTCTTTACAGTTAATACAGTCTTTTGAACAAAGACAAGCATTTTACCCTACTGCTATAAAATGTAGTACAGTTAATATTAGATGTTAATTAACCAAGATAATAATGAACAATTTTCAATCAATACATCAAAATCAATAGACCCACATCACTAGATGGAGGTAGTCTATGCTCTAGAAAGTTACTTTTCAGCCTCTTAACAAAAATGAGAACACACAGACACCCACCCACCCACCCACACACACACACACACACACACACACACACACACACACGATACCGACCTGTGGCGTACACAGACAGCAAGAGTGCCGTAGCAGATTCCATTTCACCTCAGTAATCTGTTTTCTCAGCGTATTTCAGGTTGCTACTAGTTATCAGACACTCAACTTGTTTGTTGGTGGTGGGGCTTAAAGAAAAGGCACTAGCGCTACCCAGTGTATGAGCGTCTTTTTCCCTTGAGGAGCTCGCTCTCGAAACCTATGAGAAATGCATAGACTGGGGGAAAATAGCCCCGCCTTCCCGCAGGCTGCAGCGGGATGTACTTGGAAAATTGTACCATAAAACCACATAGCGTTAATCTCACATTAAAAAAATTATCGCCGTTAAAATGGCCTCGCGTTAACGCGATAATAACGCGATAATTTTGACAGCACTAATTTAAACACCTGGTTTCATGAAGCAATTACACAAGGTGTGAAAGCATCAATGATTACTGGTGTCTTTGAAAAGGGCAAAAGTAGTCCCAAACACAGCTCCTTTTGAATGATTGTTGTAGATATAGTTTAATTTAAACACCTGGTTTCATGAGAAAAGTCAACATTGGTTATAAATCTAGATTAACTTTCCCTGGACCCAGGGAATTGTATTGGATATGGATCCAAATGATGACCAACACAGCAAGGGGAAATTTGGTATGATATTAAGGAATTGTGAAAGTGGAAGGAAGGAGTGGAAATACTGTCAGACTGACAATTTTTTCTGATAGTTGAATAAAAAAAGGGGAAAAGTGGGCCGGTTAGCTCAGCCTGGGCAGAGCGTGGTGCTAATAACGCCAAGGTCATGGGTTCAAGCCCCATACTGGCCATTTGTTCACAAGATTCTTGGATTGCACAAGAACAGATTCAAGAAACACCTTCGTGGTCATGTAGGTGTTTGGCAAACAGAGATTAACGTACACTGGGACAATGTCATGCACTGTTGAAAGTGCATAAATGCCATTGCTTTAAAAGAGAGCGCACTCCTCAATCCATAGCCATCTTAACTCCCTCTTACAAAAATTATCCCAATCCAAAACGGTGAACCATAGTTTCCCTATATTTTAATTAGCTGCATTGAAAAACAGATTACATTTTAAATAGGAAATATATCATCTTGAGAAAAAGCTCTATATAAAAGGACAAGAAATTATTTGATAAGATTGAAATTGTAGGGATCTCACTGTGAGAAGATAAAGACGAACTCCTTAGCCAATGAACACATCGTTGCTTCCTCTACCTAACCCTACAATGTGATGACACCCAATCTGGGTAATGTTTTAAACCATGTCCTCCTTAAATTTGGTTTCCAGTTGGCCACACCTAACTCTGTCATCAAGACTAGAGATCTACTTACATACCCCACCAAAACCTGTGCAATGCCCTCCTCTCACAATCTTTCAGAGAAGTTCATTTTGTGGAATATGAAAAGGCCCTGATGACACTTGCCTTGAATAAGCAAATTTCACAAAGGTGTGAAAGCATCAATGATTACGGTGTTTTTAAAACAAAAGAGTCCCAAAACAGCTCCTTTGAATGATTGTTTAGATAAGTTTAAAAAAACACCTGGTTTTAGAAAAGTCAACATTGGGGTTTTAAAACAGAAAAAACTTTCCCTGGACCCAGGGAATTTATTGGATTATGGGGTCCCAAATGTGCCAACACAGCAAAGGGGAAATTTGGAAAGAATTTTAAAGGATTGTGAAAGTTGAAGGAAAGGAGTGGAAAATTTTGTCAATAAATTTTTTTGTAGTTAATAAAAAAAGGCAAAAAATGGGCCGGTTAGCTAGCCCGGAAAAGCGGGTGCCTAAAAAACCCCAATTCTGGCAAAAGGCCCTCATTTTTCGGGATTTGTTCACCGATTTTGGATTGCACAAGCAAATTATAAAAACCATCCTGGCCCCTTTTGTTTGGAAAGAATTAATTACATGGGCTGTTACATTTAACGTGCCCCCAAAATTCCTTGTTTAAAGGGGGAACAATCCATAGCCACAAACCCTTTACAAAAATGCCAACAAAAAGGAAAACCTGTTTTAAAATTTTAATTACCATTAAAAAAGATTTAAATTTTGAAAAGGAAAATATATCATCTTGAGAAAAACTTATTTTAAAAGACAAGAAAATTTTTTGATAAAGTTTGAAAAGTAGGGACCCCAAAGTAAAAATAAAGAGAACCCAGCCAATAACACACGGTTTGTGCCTCTCCTAGTCTGTGTGACACAACTGGGGAATTTTTAAACATTCCCCTTTTAAATTTGGTTTCCAGTTGGCTCACCCTTCTCTGGTACAAGCTGTATTCTTAATCCCCCACCCCCAAAACCGTGAATCCCTCCCTCCAAGTTTCAGAAAGTTCAGACTTGGAAAATTGAAAGGGGGCAGGGTGACACCGCGAATTAAGAAACACCAGGTGTAAAAACCCAATGTTTACTGGGGGGTTTTCCCAACATGGGAAATCGGGGCTGAAATCCCCGTTGGGGCCCCCAAAAACCCCCCCCTTGGTTCTTCTCCACAAAAACACCCCCACGTATCCCGCAGGACCCAATCAGCCACAACCATTCACAGACATCACTACGTTGCCAGGCAAAAAGGGGTTTTTGCTGAACGCTGCTATTGTTAATACATGTTTAATAATTTACCAATACTAAGCTGGATGTATTAATGTTCATGATCGATTGCACTGTTATCATTACACCTGCTGCTTTGTTAATGCATTTAATCATTTGCCGATTTCAAGTTGGATGTATTAGTTTACATGATCAATTGCACTATTTGTCATGATGGGTTTCAGAAAAGCCCAGTATGCAGAACACCACAGAAACAGATAAAAAGTTTTAACAAGTTTATTGAACACAAGCACTTGGAATTAACACAGCAACTGGCTCAGGCCTGGGGGCAGGTTCACTGGAGTCTGTGAGGATGACAGTTCAGTTAGCTTGGGAGCAGATGAGTTTGGATTTGAGAGTTTCTGATTTATACCTTGAGGAGTCCGGGTTTGGTTTTGAGAGAGGAACTGTTGGGTCCAGAGACTGTTTAGTTCAGCAGAGTTCAGTAACCGCTTCAGTGTCTTGCTTCTAGCGTGAGGGCAGACCTTGGCTTTGGGTTTCCAGCTCTTAGTCCAGAGCAGCATGAGAATCCAGAGATGAGTCTTCAGGTTTGGCTCAGAGGGCAGGCTCGGCAGGTTAAGCTCATCCAGAGCTTACAAGGGAAACTGGATTCCTGTAAGCAGAGACAAAGAGGGATTAGAATCCAACCAGGGAACAGAAGCAACGAAGGTTCTCAGAAGAAGCTAGGCTCAGGTGCTAACCAAACTGGATAAACACTGTGGCGTTGAGGCAAGGTCTGAAGGCAGGTTAAATACTGGAGGATCCTCCTGATGATGAGATGCGCCTCAGGTGTGTCGAAGGCTCAGCTCAGGAGGATCCACGGCGAACTCTGCTGGAGAAAGGTGGAACTTCTCCAGATCCCGACACTATTACACCTGCTGCTAGCGGACATTAGTGAATGTATTAATATCTGGCATATTTTGGACAATTTCAGGCGCCAATAAACTGACTTTTATGGTTTTATTTCTTTGTTTCTATCTCGTTTAATTCTTTATTTTCGATTTTTCTTTTAAACTAGTCATTTAATCTAACTCGTGTTTATTTTTCTAGTAGTGTGTAGTGTTTGCATAGATGTTAGATTCCTGTAATCCTGAATTATTAGAATAAAGACATAATTGGTTAATCTGTAGTGGTTTTGGTCGTTCATATATCGGAGGGTTTATCACTCAGCGCAGATCCACCCCCCTTTTGGTAATAGTGCGAATAAACAGAGATAGAAGGTTCTTTATTGATAATTTAATAGCTTTGCTGATAACTTAACCGGGGCCACTAGACTGGTGGATACCTGGATTTTAACAGCCGGTCCCGGAACCATCCAGTTGTGGATCAACAACCGGTAAGTAGATAATTCAGGGCTATAATTATCCACCTAGGAACACCAAATTGATTTTGCCTTCGATGTTGAATAGGATAATAATTAACTATAACTCCAGTTCTAGTTAACCATCTATTCATTATCTGCAGGACATTATTTTTGCATAACACTGGTGTCTTTGAAAAGGGCAAAAGTAGTCCCAAACACAGCTCCTTTTGAATGATTGTTATAGATATAGTTTAATTTAAACACCTGGTTTCATAAGAAAAGTCAACATTGGTTATAAATCTAGATTAACTTTCCCTGGACCCAGGGAATTGTATTGGATATGGATCCAAATGATGACCAACACAGCAAGGGGAAATTTGGTATGTTATTAAGGAATTGTGAAAGTGGAAGGAAGGAGTGGAAATACTGTCAGACTGACAATCTTTTTTTATAGTTGTATAAAAAAAAGGTGAAAAGTGGGCCGGTTAGCTCAGCCTGGGCAGAGCGTGGTGCTAATAACGCCAAGGTCATGGGTTCAAGCCACATACTGGCCATTTGTTCACAAGAAAGTGCATAATTGGCTTTGCTTTAAAAGAGAGAGCACTCCCCAATCCACAGCCATCTTAACTCCCTCTTACAAAAATGTACCCAATCCAAAACGGTGAACCATATTTTCCCTATATTTTAATTAGCTGCATTGAAAAACAGATTACGTTTTAAATAGGAAATATATCATCTTGAGAAAAAGCTCTAAAAGGACAAGAAATGATTTGATAAGATTGAAATTGTAGGGATCTCACTGTGAGAAGATAAAGACGAACTCCTTAGCCAATGAACACATCGTTGCTGCCTCTACCTAGCCCTACAATGTGATGACACCCAATCTGGGTAATGTTTTAAACCATGTCCTCCTTAAATTTGGTTTCCAGTTGGCCACACCTAACTCTGTCATCAAGACTAGAGATCTACTTACATACCCCACCAAAACCTGTGCAATGCCCTCCTCTCACAATCTTTCAGAGAAGTTCATTGTACTGTGGAATATGAATGGACAGTGATGACACCTTGCCTTGATATGAAGCAATTACACAAGGTGTGAAAGCATCAATGATTACTGGTGTCTTTGAAAAGGGCAAAAGTAGTCCCAAACACAGCTCCTTTTGAATGATTGTTGTAGATATAGTTTAATTTAAACACCTGGTTTCATGAGAAAAGTCAACATTGGTTATAAATCTAGATTAAGTTTCCCTGGACCCAGGGAATTGTATTGGATATGGATCCAAATGATGACCAACACAGCAAGGGGAAATTTGGTATGATATTAAGGAATTGTGAAAATGGAAGGAATTAGTGGATATACTTTCAGACTGACAATTTTTTCTGATAGTTGAATAAAAAAAAGGTGAAAAGTGGGCCGGTTAGCTCAGCCTGGGCAGAGCGTGGTGCTAATAACGCCAAGGTCATGGGTTCAAGCCCCATACTGGCCATTTGTTCACAAGATTCTTGGATTGCACAAGAACAGATTCAAAGAACACCTTCCTGGTCATGTAGGTGTTTGGCAAACAGAGATTAATGTACACTGGGACAATGTCATGCACTGTTGAAAGTGCATAATTGCCATTGCTTTAAAAGAGAGAGCAATCCATAGCCATCTTAACTCCCTCTTACAAAAATCAACCCAATCCAAAAAGGTAAACCATAGTTTCCCTATATTTTAATTAGCTGCATTGAAAAACAGATTACGTTTTAAATAGGAAATATATCATCTTGAGAAAAAGCTCTAAAAGGACAAGAAATGATTTGATAAGATTGAAATTGTAGGGATCTCCAACTGTGAGAAGATAAAGACGAACTCCTTAGCCAATGAACACATCGTTGCTGCCTCTACCTAGCCCTACAATGTGATGACACCCAATCTGGGTAATGTTTTAAACCATGTCCTCCTTAAATTTGGTTTCCAGTTGGCCACACCTACAGTAACTCTGTCATCTATTAAGTTGTAAGTAGCAGACTGCATGTATGAGATGTAAGGAATGGGAGGCGGGGCTAGATCTGTGTTTCGTTCTTCGGGGAGTTGAATGAAGAGCGCGGGAGCGCATGTTGTAAACTGTTAATGGCGACCATTAAAGTGTGGATATTAACGTAAGCAGTGTGATTATTGAGCCAACATTGGTAGCAGAGGATGGCCACTGCTGGAAATTACAAAGTTCCCCCACCGTTCGACGAGAAGACGTCTTACGAAAGTTGGAAAAATGAAATTGAAATCTGGAGACTTGTTACCGACTTGGACAAAAAGAAGCAGGCCCTGGCGGTTACCCTGTCGCTATCAGGAAGAGCGAGAGAAAGCGCGCTGGAAATCGCTGCGGAACATCTCAACGTCGATGCAGGAATGAGTGTTCTTTTAGACAAGTTGGATTCAGTGTTTTTAAAAGAAGAAAAAGATCGACAGTACGAAGCTTACACGGAGTTTGACCGGATCGACAGACGCGGCGACACGTCCATGATGGATTACATTATCGAATTTGAACGACGGTACAACAAGTTACTTAAGTTCAAAATGGAACTACCGGATGCAGTGTTAGCATTCAACCTATTAGACACCGCGGGGCTAAACGTTAAAGACAAACAGCTAGCTCTTACCGCCTGTTCCACTGTAACTTTTGACAACATGAAATCGGCTTTGAAAAGAATCTTCGGTGATAATGTCTATCCTCCACAAGAGGGCGACTCAGCCTTTTTCACCAAATACACAGGCAAGCGTGAACGGAGTTCAAACTCAGAGCAAAGCTCAAGAACAGCTGCAGGGACTAATCCACTCGACAAATACGGGAGAAGAACTAAATGTGCAATATGTCAGAGCACTTTTCACTGGGCAAAAGACTGCCCCAATAAAAGAGAACATGTGAAGCTAACAAATGTTGAGGGATCAAAAGACAACGTTGAGGAATGTAATATTACTATGTTTTCAGACGAATTCACATCTGACACACAGATCTTCATGGTAGAAGCTTTGGGATCTGCTCTGATTGACACTGCCTGTACAAGAACTGTGTGTGGTGAAAAATGGCTTGCAGATTATGTAAGTGGATTGCCTCAGAGAGAATTAATGAAGATTAAAGATGAAAAAAGTGCAAGACCTTTCCGGTTTGGGGATGGAAAACTGGTGCAATCCACAAGAAAGGTGACTATTCCTGCAACAATAGGAAAAACTAAATGCAACATTGAGACAGAAGTAGTTCCAGCAGATATACCGATGCTTTTGAGCAAAACATCACTGAAGAGAGCGAGTGCTGTTTTAGACATTGCTCAAGACAAAGCAATGATGTTTGACCAACCTGTAAAACTTGAACTGACATCTTCTGGACATTATTGTGTAAATTTAAGAAAGGAAAGGATCAATAATGAAAGCCAGTTTAAACAAAGTGAGACACCAAATGATGAAGATGAAATTCTCATTGTGACAGAAAACATGGCAACAAAAGAAAAAAAAAAACAGTACTGCTAAAGCTACATAAACAATTTGGACATGCCTCAGTTGACAGACTACAAAAGCTCTTATCTTGCTCAGGCAACACCGATGATGAAAGCATTACAGTCCTGAAGGAAATTGTAAAAAACTGTGAAATATGCATCCGGTACAGTAGAGCAAAACCTAAACCTGCAGTGGGTTTACCCATGGCTTCAACGTACACTATATTGCCAAAAGTATTTGCTCACCTGCCTTGACTCACATATGAGCTTAAGTGACATCCCGTTCCTAATCCATAGGGTTCAATATGACGTCGGTCCACCCTTTGCAGCTAGAACAGCTTCAACTCTTCTGGGAAGGCTGTCCACAAGGTTTAGGAGTGTGTTTATGGGAATTTTTGACCATTCTTCCAGAAGCGCATTTGTGAGGTCGCACACTGATGTTGGACGAGAAGGCCTGGCTCTCAGTCTCCGCTCTAATTCATCCCAAAGGTGTTCTATCGGGTTGAGGTCAGGACTCTGTGCAGGCCAGTCAAGTTCATCCACACCAGACTCTGTCATCCATGTCTTTATGGACCTTGCTTTGTGCACTGGTGCACAGTCATGTTGGAAGAGGAAGGGGCCAGCTCCAAACTGTTCCCACAAAGTTGGGAGCATGGAATTGTCCAAAATGTCTTGGTATGCTGAAGCATTCAGAGTTCCTTTCACTGGAACTAAGGGGCCAAGCCCAGCTCCTGAAAAACAACCCCACACCATAATCCCCCCTCCACCAAACTTTACACTTGGCACAATGCAGTCAGACAAGTACCGTTCTCCTGGCAACCGCCAAACCCAGACCCGTCCATCAGATTGCCAGATGGAGAAGCGCGATTCGTCACTCCAGAGAACGCGTCTCCACTGCTCTAGAGTCCAGTGGCGGCGTGCTTTACACCACCGCATCCGACGCTTTGCATTGCACTTGGTGATGTATGGCTTGGATGCAGCTGCTCGACCATGGAAACCCATTCCATGAAGCTCTCTGCGCACTGTTCTTGAGCTAATCTGAAGGCCACATGAAGTTTGGAGGTCTGTAGTGATTGACTCTGCAGAAAGTTGGCGACCTCTTCGCACTATGCGCTTCAGCATCCGCTGACCCCGCTCCGTCAGTTTACGTGGCCTACCACTTCGTGGCTGAGTTGCTGTCGTTCCCAAACACTTCCATTTTCTTATAATACAGCTGACAGTTGACTGTGGAATATTTAGGAGCGAGGAAATTTCACGACTGGATTTGTTGCACAGGTGGCATCCTATCACAGTTCCACGCTGGAATTCACTGAGCTCCTGAGAGCGACCCATTCTTTCACAAATGTTTGTAAAAACAGTCTGCATGCCTAGGTGCTTGAATTTATACACCTGTGGCCATGGAAGTGATTGGAACACCTGATTCCAATAATTTGGATGGGTGAGCAAATACTTTTGGCAATATAGTGTATAATGAAACTGTAGCGATGGACTTACATGAGCTTGAGCCAGGTTTGTGGTATCTACATGCCATCGACCATTTTACAAGATTCAGTACAGGGAGCATCATCACCACAAAAAGACCCAAAGAGATAGTGAAGCACTATATTCACTGCTGGATAAGCGTTCATGGCCCACCACGCAGATTATTCACTGACAATGGAGGTGAATTTAACAACGAAGAAATAAGAGACATGGCTGAACATTTTAACATTGAGGTTAAAGCCACTGCTGGATACAGTCCATGGAGCAACGGTCTACTGGAAAGACACAATCAGATTCTCACTGAAATGCTACTCAAGGTAAAGAGAGACAACAAATGTGACTGGAAAATGGCTCTGGACTGGGCTTTGATGGCAAAAAACAGCATGCACAATGTACATGGCTACAGTCCATATCAACTTGTTTTTGGTCAAAACCCAAACCTGCCTTCAGTTCTAATTGATAGACCTCCAGCATTGGAAACTGATGCCAACACATGGATGGGTCATCACACTGCAACACTGCATGGCATGAGAAAAGCCTTTGCTGAGGCTGAATGTTCTGAGAGGATCCGAAGAGCCCTCCGAAAACAGCTGCGACCCACAGATGACAAATATGAAACAGGAGACAAAGTCTATTATAAACGTACAGACTGTCAGGAGTGGAAAGGGCCAGGTGTGGTTATTGGCCAAGATGGAGTAGTATTATTCGTCAGGCATGGTGGAACGTATGTCAGAGTACACCAGTCTAGGCTGAGAAAAATGAATGAGACACAAGAGAAACTAGGGGAAAGCGAAAGCAAAAATCCATTTAAAACGGATGACCACCTTTCAAAGACACCAGCAGCGGTACTTGACGAAGAACATGACTTTGAAAGTGAACTTGAGGAGGAGATGGCACCAACAAGCAATGAATCACTTGGTGTTGCAGAAAATGGTGAATCCTCCTGTGATCCAGTACAACCTGAAGGGGATGGTCTTCCACTGACACACACAACTGTAAGTGAAGGAATAAAACTAAAAGCTGGACAAGGAATTAAATTCACAGACAAAGAAACAGGTCAAAAATATGCTGGAAAAATAACAAGCCGTGCAGGGAAAGCCAGTGGGAAACACAAAAACTGGTACAACTTAGAATATACTGAGCCAGAGGAAATTGCTGGATCTACAGGATCCATTGATATGGGACAAGTAAGCAACCTCGAAGTGGTTGAAAATGTCAAGACCAATACTTACAACAGAGATGAAATATTAGTAGTGAACGAGGATATTTTCTCACACGCTAAACAAACTGAACTTGAGAACTGGAAAAGAAACAATGTATTTGTGGAGGAAAAAGATGAAGGTCAGAAATGCATATCAACGAGGTGGGTGTGCACACTCAAGAAAACACAAGTAGACATAGTACCCAAAGCAAGACTGGTTGCAAGAGGCTTTGAAGAAATTAACATTCAAGAACTTCCTAAGGATTCACCCACTTGTTCCTCTGAATCTCTAAAGATGGTTATAGCTGTTATATGCCAAAATAAATGGAAGCTGAACTCTATGGACATCAAAGCAGCCTTTTTGCAAGGTAAAGATTTAACACGGGATGTGTATCTCCGTCCGCCTCAAGAGGCAGAGAGCGAAGGAATCGTATGGAAATTAAATAAATGTGTCTATGACTTGGCAGATGCTTCCTTGTTCTGGTACAACAAGGTGAAAGAAACCATGCAGAAGCTGGCAGGAACTGTGTCAAAAGTTGATCCAGCTGTCTTCTACTGGCAAGATGATTTCTGTAAGGTGACAGGAGTTCTTGCATGCCATGTAGATGACTTTGTATGGGGTGGTTCAGACATGTTTTCTTCAGCTATTATCCCCCAACTGAAAACTGCTTTTCAAGTTGGAAGAGAAGAACATAACAGCTTCAACTACATTGGAATGGAGGTTCATTCTCTGCAGAATGAAATCAGAGTACAACAGCGTGCATACATTAAAAACCTACAGCCCATTCCTATGGATCCCATCAGAGCACCACAGCGGGAGGCTCCATTAACAGACACAGAAATGGACATGTTAAAATCCAAGATTGGACAGATTCTGTGGGTAGCAAGACAGAGCAGACCTGACATCATGTGTGACATATCTATCTTGGCGTCAAACACAAAACATGGTACAATTCAAACATTACACTCTGCAAACAAACTGATCAGAAAACTTAAATCTGAGGAAGTTACCCTTAGATTCCAATGCTTGGGAGACAGCAAATACCACAAGCTAGTGGTGTTCAGCGATTCCTCAATGGGAAATCTCTCAGATGGAGGGACACAAGGAGGACATTTTGTCATGCTGATGGGAGAAGATGGAAAATTTTCACCCATATGCTGGCAATCCAGACGGATTAGGAGAGTGGTACGTAGCACGTTAGCTGGAGAGACTTTAGCACTAGCAGATGGAATTGATAGTGCTGTCTTTCTTGCTACACTCTATTCAGAGCTCATGGTTGGTGATGGCACGCGCAACATCTTACCCATTACCTGTGTAACGGACAACCATTCCCTCCTTGATGCTGTCAAATCCACAAAATGTGTAACTGAAAAGAGACTCCGGCTTGAGATCAGCAGCATCAAAGAACTTATGGGTTCTGGGACAATCCAGGAAATCATATGGACACCTACCAAAGACCAACTTGCCAACTGCCTAACAAAAGTGGGGGCGTCTGCCCTTGGACTGCTGAGAGCCCTAGGTGAAGGGAAATGGCAACTTAAAGATTAAAATAAATAAAGTGACTATTGTTCCTTACATAAGTTAAGTTCAAGTAAATGGAGTTAAAATAAATAAATTGACTATTGTTCCTTACATAAGTTAAGTTCAAGTAAATGGAGTTAAAATAAGTAAAGTTAGAATGCTAAAATTTCTTTAGCCTGTTATGTGTTCTTTAAAGAAAGAGGGGAGATTGTTAAGTTGTAAGTAGCAGACTGCATGTATGAGATGTAAGGAATGGGAGGCGGGGCTAGATCTGTGTTTCGTTCTTCGGGGAGTTGAATGAAGAGCGCGGGAGCGCATGTTGTAAACTGTTAATGGCGACCATTAAAGTGTGGATATTAACGTAAGCAGTGTGATTATTGAGCCAACATCATCAAGACTAGAGATCTACTTACATACCCCACCAAAACCTGTGCAATGCCCTCCTCTCACAATCTTTCAGAGAAGTTCATTGTACTGTGGAATATGAATGGACAGTGATGACACCTTGCCTTGATATGAAGCAATTACACAAGGTGTGAAAGCATCAATGATTACTGGTGTCTTTGAAAAGGGCAAAAGTAGTCCCAAACACAGCTCCTTTTGAATGATTGTTGTAGATATAGTTTAATTTAAACACCGGGTTTCATAAGAAAAGTCAACATTGGTTATAAATCCAGATTAACTTTCCCTGGACCCAGGGAATTGTATTGGATATGGATCCAAATGATCACCAACACAGCAAGGGGAAATTTGGTATGATATTAAGGAATTGTGAAAGTGGAAGGAAGGAGTGGAAATACTGTCAGACTGACAATTTTTTCTGATAGTTGAATAAAAAAAAGGTGAAAAGTGGGCCGGTTAGCTCATCCTGGGCAGAGCGTGGTGCTAATAACGCCAAGGTCATGGGTTCAAGCCCCATACTGGCCATTTGTTCACAAGATTCTTGGATTGCACAAGAAAAGATTCAAAGAACACCTTCCTGGTCATGTAGGTGTTTGTAAAACAGAGATTAATGTACACTGGGACAATGTCATGCACTGTTGAAAGTGCATAATTGCCATTGCTTTAAAAGAGATACAAGTCCCGAATCCGCAGCCATCTTAACTCCCTCTTACAAAAACGTACCCAATCCAAAAAGGTGAACCATAGTTTCCCTATATTTTAATTAGCTGCATTGAAAAACAGATTACGTTTTAAATAGGAAATATATCATCTTGAGAAAAAGCTCTATATAAAAGGACAAGAAATGATTTGATAAGATTGAAATTGTAGGGATCTCCAACTGTGAGAAGATAAAGACGAACTCCTTAGCCAATGAACACATCGTTGCTGCCTCTACCTAGCCCTACAATGTGATGACACCCAATCTGGGTAATGTTTTAAACCATGTCCTCCTTAAATTTGGTTTCCAGTTGGCCACACCTAACTCTGTCATCAAGACTAGAGATCTACTTACATACCCTACCAAAACCTGTGCAATGCCCTCCTCTCACAATCTTTCAGGGAAGTTCATTGTACTGTGGAATATGAATGGACAGTGATGACACCTTGCCTTGATATGAAGCAATTACACAAGGTGTGAAAGCATCAATGATTAGTGGTGTCTTTGAAAATGGCAAAAGTAGTCCCAAACACAGCTCCTTTTGAATGATTGTTGTAGATATAGTTTAATTTAAACTAGTGCTGTCAATCGATTAAAATTTTTTTAACGCGATTAATCGCATTTTAATCGCAAATTTTTTTTCTGATTGAAAATCATTTAAATACTCTCGATGACATACAAAAAATACATACAGGCTAGGTTTGTGCCAATGTTCTTTTTTTTAAATGAAAACAGGTCACAGACACTGATTTATGCCATAGAAACATATGGCAAGAAGATGGGGAGGCATGTAGCAAAAAATAACAAATAAAAAAGGCCCTGAAAACAGGCTGATGTAAAAGACAGTCTTTACAGTTAATACAGTCTTTTGAACAAAGACAAGCATTTTACCCTACTGCTATAAAATGTAGTACAGTTAATATTAGATGTTAATTAACCAAGATAATAATGAACAATTTTCAATCAATACATCAAAATCAATAGACCCACATCACTAGATGGAGGTAGTCTATGCTCTAGAAAGTTACTTTTCAGCCTCTTAACAAAAATGAGAACACACACACCAGCACCCACCCACACACACACACACACACACACACACACACACACACACACACACACGATACCGACCTGTGGCGTACACAGACAGCAAGAGTGCCGTAGCAGATTCCATTTCACCTCAGTAATCTGTTTTCTCAGCGTATTTCAGGTTGCTACTAGTTATCAGACACTCAACTTGTTTGTTGGTGGTGGGGCTTAAAGAAAAGGCACTAGCGCTACCCAGTGTATGAGCGTCTTTTTCCCTTGAGGAGCTCGCTCTCGAAACCTATGAGAAATGCATAGACTGGGGGAAAATAGCCCCGCCTTCCCGCAGGCTGCAGCGGGATGTACTTGGAAAATTGTACCATAAAACCACATAGCGTTAATCTCACATTAAAAAAATTATCGCCGTTAAAATGGCCTCGCGTTAACGCGATAATAACGCGATAATTTTGACAGCACTAATTTAAACACCTGGTTTCATGAAGCAATTACACAAGGTGTGAAAGCATCAATGATTACTGGTGTCTTTGAAAAGGGCAAAAGTAGTCCCAAACACAGCTCCTTTTGAATGATTGTTGTAGATATAGTTTAATTTAAACACCTGGTTTCATGAGAAAAGTCAACATTGGTTATAAATCTAGATTAACTTTCCCTGGACCCAGGGAATTGTATTGGATATGGATCCAAATGATGACCAACACAGCAAGGGGAAATTTGGTATGATATTAAGGAATTGTGAAAGTGGAAGGAAGGAGTGGAAATACTGTCAGACTGACAATTTTTTCTGATAGTTGAATAAAAAAAAGGGCAAAAAGTGGGCCGGTTAGCTCAGCCTGGGCAGAGCGTGGTGCTAATAACGCCAAGGTCATGGGTTCAAGCCCCATACTGGCCATTTGTTCACAAGATTCTTGGATTGCACAAGAACAGATTCAAGAAACACCTTCGTGGTCATGTAGGTGTTTGGCAAACAGAGATTAACGTACACTGGGACAATGTCATGCACTGTTGAAAGTGCATAAATGCCATTGCTTTAAAAGAGAGCGCACTCCTCAATCCATTGCCATCTTAACTCCCTCTTACAAAAATTATCCCAATCCAAAACGGTGAACCATAGTTTCCCTATATTTTAATTAGCTGCATTGAAAAACAGATTACGTTTTAAATAGGAAATATATCATCTTGAGAAAAAGCTCTATATAAAAGGACAAGAAATGATTTGATAAGATTGAAATTGTAGGGATCTCACTGTGAGAAGATAAAGACGAACTCCTTAGCCAATGAACACATCGTTGCTGCCTCTACCTAGCCCTACAATGTGATGACACCCAATCTGGGTAATGTTTTAAACCATGTCCTCCTTAAATTTGGTTTCCAGTTGGCTACACCTTACTCTGTCATCAAGACTAGATATCTACTTACATACCCCACCAAAACCTGTGCAATGCCCTCCTCTCACAATGTTTCAGAGAAGTTCATTGTACTGTGGAATATGAATGGACAGTGATGACACCTTGCCTTGATATTAAGCAATTACACAAGGTGTGAAAGCATCAATGATTACTGGTGTTGAGGTATATTACCAACATGGAGCTAAATCAGTGGGCTGAACCATCCCCGTTGCCACCTGAACCACCCCCTTTGTTCTTCTCCACAATGGAACTACCCCCACGTCACTCACAGCACGGACCAATCAGCCGATGCGCAGACAGGAAGTGCCCGCACGTCATCCATGGGTTAAAAACGCAGCGCGAAAAGACTCCAGCCTCTTTTTCCATGGGTTTGGAGCCCGTCAGGAGAGACCCATTTCACGTGAAATACCAGAAGAAAGCTGACTGGAAGTAGCTTTCATTTTCCTGTGTCAAAAGTCACGGATCGCAGTGTTCCATCGTGCATAGCGGCTGCGCTGACTGGGAGACAGAAGCCTTTGAAGCTGACCGCGGAGCTTCGTTCTCCCCTTCCTTGGACGAATCGGCTGAGAGGACGCTCTCTAGCCGACCACCTCCTAAGATCACCTCCTAAAATCCCTCCTTTCCAACTCGTGAGCATATCAACCCCTCTGCTGCGGCCCCGGGCTGACTGAACTTCCCGAGGGGTGGACCGGTGGCAGAGAACCTATGCCCGACAGAAACCAAGCTGCGGTTGCCGTGGAAACGCCAACCTCCCTCGGACGACGCATCTCACAGTAAAATCAATTTACTTTTAGAGAGCAATCCATAGCCATCTTAACTCCCTCTTACAAAAATCAACCCAATCCAAAAAGGTAAACCATAGTTTCCCTATATTTTAATTAGCTGCATTGAAAAACAGATTACGTTTTAAATAGGAAATATATCATCTTGAGAAAAAGCTCTAAAAGGACAAGAAATGATTTGATAAGATTGAAATTGTAGGGATCTCCAACTGTGAGAAGATAAAGACGAACTCCTTAGCCAATGAACACATCGTTGCTGCCTCTACCTAGCCCTACAATGTGATGACACCCAATCTGGGTAATGTTTTAAACCATGTCCTCCTTAAATTTGGTTTCCAGTTGGCCACACCTACAGTAACTCTGTCATCTGTTAAGTTGTAAGTAGCAGACTGCATGTATGAGATGTAAGGAATGGGAGGCGGGGCTAGATCTGTGTTTCGTTCTTCGGGGAGTTGAATGAAGAGCGCGGGAGCGCATGTTGTAAACTGTTAATGGCGACCATTAAAGTGTGGATATTAACGTAAGCAGTGTGATTATTGAGCCAACATTGGTAGCAGAGGATGGCCACTGCTGGAAATTACAAAGTTCCCCCACCGTTCGACGAGAAGACGTCTTACGAAAGTTGGAAAAATGAAATTGAAATCTGGAGACTTGTTACCGACTTGGACAAAAAGAAGCAGGCCCTGGCGGTTACCCTGTCGCTATCAGGAAGAGCGAGAGAAAGCGCGCTGGAAATCGCTGCGGAACATCTCAACGTCGATGCAGGAATGAGTGTTCTTTTAGACAAGTTGGATTCAGTGTTTTTAAAAGAAGAAAAAGATCGACAGTACGAAGCTTACACGGAGTTTGACCGGATCGACAGACGCGGCGACACGTCCATGATGGATTACATTATCGAATTTGAACGACGGTACAACAAGTTACTTAAGTTCAAAATGGAACTACCGGATGCAGTGTTAGCATTCAACCTATTAGACACCGCGGGGCTAAACGTTAAAGACAAACAGCTAGCTCTTACCGCCTGTTCCACTGTAACTTTTGACAACATGAAATCGGCTTTGAAAAGAATCTTCGGTGATAATGTCTATCCTCCACAAGAGGGCGACTCAGCCTTTTTCACCAAATACACAGGCAAGCGTGAACGGAGTTCAAACTCAGAGCAAAGCTCAAGAACAGCTGCAGGGACTAATCCACTCGACAAATACGGGAGAAGAACTAAATGTGCAATATGTCAGAGCACTTTTCACTGGGCAAAAGACTGCCCCAATAAAAGAGAACATGTGAAGCTAACAAATGTTGAGGGATCAAAAGACAACGTTGAGGAATGTAATATTACTATGTTTTCAGACGAATTCACATCTGACACACAGATCTTCATGGTAGAAGCTTTGGGATCTGCTCTGATTGACACTGCCTGTACAAGAACTGTGTGTGGTGAAAAATGGCTTGCAGATTATGTAAGTGGATTGCCTCAGAGAGAATTAATGAAGATTAAAGATGAAAAAAGTGCAAGACCTTTCCGGTTTGGGGATGGAAAACTGGTGCAATCCACAAGAAAGGTGACTATTCCTGCAACAATAGGAAAAACTAAATGCAACATTGAGACAGAAGTAGTTCCAGCAGATATACCGATGCTTTTGAGCAAAACATCACTGAAGAGAGCGAGTGCTGTTTTAGACATTGCTCAAGACAAAGCAATGATGTTTGACCAACCTGTAAAACTTGAACTGACATCTTCTGGACATTATTGTGTAAATTTAAGAAAGGAAAGGATCAATAATGAAAGCCAGTTTAAACAAAGTGAGACACCAAATGATGAAGATGAAATTCTCATTGTGACAGAAAACATGGCAACAAAAGAAAAAAAAAACAGTACTGCTAAAGCTACATAAACAATTTGGACATGCCTCAGTTGACAGACTACAAAAGCTCTTATCTTGCTCAGGCAACACCGATGATGAAAGCATTACAGTCCTGAAGGAAATTGTAAAAAACTGTGAAATATGCATCCGGTACAGTAGAGCAAAACCTAAACCTGCAGTGGGTTTACCCATGGCTTCAACGTACAGTATAATGAAACTGTAGCGATGGACTTACATGAGCTTGAGCCAGGTTTGTGGTATCTACATGCCATCGACCATTTTACAAGATTCAGTACAGGGAGCATCATCACCACAAAAAGACCCAAAGAGATAGTGAAGCACTATATTCACTGCTGGATAAGCGTTCATGGCCCACCACGCAGATTATTCACTGACAATGGAGGTGAATTTAACAACGAAGAAATAAGAGACATGGCTGAACATTTTAACATTGAGGTTAAAGCCACTGCTGGATACAGTCCATGGAGCAACGGTCTACTGGAAAGACACAATCAGATTCTCACTGAAATGCTACTCAAGGTAAAGAGAGACAACAAATGTGACTGGAAAATGGCTCTGGACTGGGCTTTGATGGCAAAAAACAGCATGCACAATGTACATGGCTACAGTCCATATCAACTTGTTTTTGGTCAAAACCCAAACCTGCCTTCAGTTCTAATTGATAGACCTCCAGCATTGGAAACTGATGCCAACACATGGATGGGTCATCACACTGCAACACTGCATGGCCTGAGAAAAGCCTTTGCTGAGGCTGAATGTTCTGAGAGGATCCGAAGAGCCCTCCGAAAACAGCTGCGACCCACAGATGACAAATATGAAACAGGAGACAAAGTCTATTATAAACGTACAGACTGTCAGGAGTGGAAAGGGCCAGGTGTGGTTATTGGCCAAGATGGAGTAGTATTATTCGTCAGGCATGGTGGAACGTATGTCAGAGTACACCAGTCTAGGCTGAGAAAAATGAATGAGACACAAGAGAAACTAGGGGAAAGCGAAAGCAAAAATCCATTTAAAACGGATGACCACCTTTCAAAGACACCAGCAGCGGTACTTGACGAAGAACATGACTTTGAAAGTGAACTTGAGGAGGAGATGGCACCAACAAGCAATGAATCACTTGGTGTTGCAGAAAATGGTGAATCCTCCTGTGATCCAGTACAACCTGAAGGGGATGGTCTTCCACTGACACACACAACTGTAAGTGAAGGAATAAAACTAAAAGCTGGACAAGGAATTAAATTCACAGACAAAGAAACAGGTCAAAAATATGCTGGAAAAATAACAAGCCGTGCAGGGAAAGCCAGTGGGAAACACAAAAACTGGTACAACTTAGAATATACTGAGCCAGAGGAAATTGCTGGATCTACAGGATCCATTGATATGGGACAAGTAAGCAACCTCGAAGTGGTTGAAAATGTCAAGACCAATACTTACAACAGAGATGAAATATTAGTAGTGAACGAGGATATTTTCTCACACGCTAAACAAACTGAACTTGAGAACTGGAAAAGAAACAATGTATTTGTGGAGGAAAAAGATGAAGGTCAGAAATGCATATCAACGAGGTGGGTGTGCACACTCAAGAAAACACAAGTAGACATAGTACCCAAAGCAAGACTGGTTGCAAGAGGCTTTGAAGAAATTAACATTCAAGAACTTCCTAAGGATTCACCCACTTGTTCCTCTGAATCTCTAAAGATGGTTATAGCTGTTATATGCCAAAATAAATGGAAGCTGAACTCTATGGACATCAAAGCAGCCTTTTTGCAAGGTAAAGATTTAACACGGGATGTGTATCTCCGTCCGCCTCAAGAGGCAGAGAGCGAAGGAATCGTATGGAAATTAAATAAATGTGTCTATGGCTTGGCAGATGCTTCCTTGTTCTGGTACAACAAGGTGAAAGAAACCATGCAGAAGCTGGCAGGAACTGTGTCAAAAGTTGATCCAGCTGTCTTCTACTGGCAAGATGATTTCTGTAAGGTGACAGGAGTTCTTGCATGCCATGTAGATGACTTTGTATGGGGTGGTTCAGACATGTTTTCTTCAGCTATTATCCCCCAACTGAAAACTGCTTTTCAAGTTGGAAGAGAAGAACATAACAGCTTCAACTACATTGGAATGGAGGTTCATTCTCTGCAGAATGAAATCAGAGTACAACAGCGTGCATACATTAAAAACCTACAGCCCATTCCTATGGATCCCATCAGAGCACCACAGCGGGAGGCTCCATTAACAGACACAGAAATGGACATGTTAAAATCCAAGATTGGACAGATTCTGTGGGTAGCAAGACAGAGCAGACCTGACATCATGTGTGACATATCTATCTTGGCGTCAAACACAAAACATGGTACAATTCAAACATTACACTCTGCAAACAAACTGATCAGAAAACTTAAATCTGAGGAAGTTACCCTTAGATTCCAATGCTTGGGAGACAGCAAATACCACAAGCTAGTGGTGTTCAGCGATTCCTCAATGGGAAATCTCTCAGATGGAGGGACACAAGGAGGACATTTTGTCATGCTGATGGGAGAAGTTGGAAAATTTTCACCCATATGCTGGCAATCCAGACGGATTAGGAGAGTGGTACGTAGCACGTTAGCTGGAGAGACTTTAGCACTAGCAGATGGAATTGATAGTGCTGTCTTTCTTGCTACACTCTATTCAGAGCTCATGGTTGGTGATGGCACACGCAACATCTTACCCATTACCTGTGTAACGGACAACCATTCCCTCCTTGATGCTGTCAAATCCACAAAATGTGTAACTGAAAAGAGACTCCGGCTTGAGATCAGCAGCATCAAAGAACTTATGGGTTCTGGGACAATCCAGGAAATCATATGGACACCTACCAAAGACCAACTTGCCAACTGCCTAACAAAAGTGGGGGCGTCTGCCCTTGGACTGCTGAGAGCCCTAGGTGAAGGGAAATGGCAACTTAAAGATTAAAATAAATAAAGTGACTATTGTTCCTTACATAAGTTAAGTTCAAGTAAATGGAGTTAAAATAAATAAATTGACTATTGTTCCTTACATAAGTTAAGTTCAAGTAAATGGAGTTAAAATAAGTAAAGTTAGAATGCTAAAATTTCTTTAGCCTGTTATGTGTTCTTTAAAGAAAGAGGGGAGATTGTTAAGTTGTAAGTAGCAGACTGCATGTATGAGATGTAAGGAATGGGAGGCGGGGCTAGATCTGTGTTTCGTTCTTCGGGGAGTTGAATGAAGAGCGCGGGAGCGCATGTTGTAAACTGTTAATGGCGACCATTAAAGTGTGGATATTAACGTAAGCAGTGTGATTATTGAGCCAACATCATCAAGACTAGAGATCTACTTACATACCCCACCAAAACCTGTGCAATGCCCTCCTCTCACAATCTTTCAGAGAAGTTCATTGTACTGTGGATATGAATGGACAGTGATGACACCTTGCCTTGATATGAAGCAATTACACAAGGTGTGAAAGCATCAATGATTACTGGTGTCTTTGAAAAGGGCAAAAGTAGTCCCAAACACAGCTCCTTTTGAATGATTGTTGTAGATATAGTTTAATTTAAACACCTGGTTTCATGAGAAAAGTCAACATTGGTTATAAATCTAGATTAACTTTCCCTGGACCCAGGGAATTGTATTGGATATGGATCAAAATGATGACCAACACAGCAAGGGGAAATTTGGTATGATATTAAGGAATTGTGAAAGTGGAAGGAAGGAGTGGAAATACTGTCAGACTGACAATTTTTTCTGATAGTTGAATAAAAAAAAAGGTGAAAAGTGGGCCGGTTAGCTCAGCCTGGGCAGAGCGTGGTGCTAATAACGCCAAGGTCATGGGTTCAAGCCCCATACTGGCCATTTGTTCACAAGATTCTTGGATTGCACAAGAACAGATTCAAAGAACACCTTCCTGGTCATGTAGGTGTTTGGCAAACAGAGATTAATGTACACTGGGACAATGTCATGCACTGTTGAAAGTGCATAATTGCCATTGCTTTAAAAGAGAGAGCAATCCATAGCCATCTTAACTCCCTCTTACAAAAATGTACCCAATCCAAAAAGGTGAACCATAGTTTCCCTATATTTTAATTAGCTGCATTGAAAAAGAGATTACGTTTTAAATAGGAAATACAGGTGCTGGTCATAAAATTAGAATATCATGAAAAAGTAGATTGATTTCAGTAATTCCATTTAAAAAGTGAAACTTGTATATTATATTCATACATTACATACAAACTCATATATTTCAGATGTTTATTTTGTTTAATTTTGATGATTACAAATGACAACAAATGAAAATCTCAAATTCATCATATCAGAAAATTAGAATATTGTGAAAAGGTTCAAAATTGATGGCCCCTGGTGCCACACTCTAATCAGCTAATTAACTCAAACCACCTGCAAAAGCCTTTAAATGGTCTTTCAGTCTAGTTCTATAGGCTACACAATCATGGGGAAGACTGCTGACTTGACAGTTGTCCAAAAGACGACCATCGACACCTTGCACAAGGAGGGCAAGACACAAAAGGTCATCGCTAAAGAGGCTGGCTGTTCACAGAGCTCAGTGTCCAAGCACATTAATAGAGAGGCGAAGGGAAGGAAAAGATGTGGTCGAAAAAAGTGTACAAGCAAGAGAGATAACCGCACCCTGGAGAGGATTGTGAAACAAAACCCATTCAAAAATGTGGGGGAGATTCACAAAGAGTGGACTGCAGCTGGAGTGAGTGCTTCAAGAACCACCACACACAGACGTATGAAAGACATGGGTTTCTGCTGTCGCATTCCTTGTGTCAAGCCACTCTTGAACCACAGACAGCGTCAGAAGCGTCTAAAGAGAAACAGGACTGGACTGCTGGTGAGTGGTCCAAAGTCATGTTCTCTGATAAAAGTAAATTTTGCATTTCCTTTGGAAATCAAGGTCCCAGAGTCTGGAGGAAAAGAAGAGAGGCACTTCATCCACGTTGCTTGAAGTCCAGTGTAAAGTTTCCACAGTCAGTGATGGTTTGGGGTGCCATGTCATCTGCTGGTGTTGGTCCATTGTGTTTTCTGAGGTCCAGGGTCAACGCAGCCACATACCAGGAAGTTTTAGAGCACTTCATGCTTCCTGCAGCTGACCAACTTTTTGGAGATGCAGATTTCATTTTCCAACAGGACTTGGCACCTGCACACAGTGCCAAAGCTACCAGTACCTGGTTGAAGGACCATGGTATCCCTGTTCTTAATTGGCCAGCAAACTCTCCTGACCTTAACCCCATAGAAAATCTATGGGGTATTGTGAAGAAGAAGATGCAATACACCAGACCCAACAATTCAGAAGAGCTAAAAGCCACTATTAGAGCAACCTGGGCTATCATAACACCTGAGCAGTGCCACAGACTGATCGACTCCATGCCACGCCGCATTGCTGCAGTAATACAGGCCAAAGGAGGCCCAACTAAATACTGAGTACTGTACATGCTCATACTTTTCATGTTCATACTTTTCAGTTGGCCAACATTTCTATAAATCCTTTGTTTTTATTGGTCTTCAGTAATATTCTAATTTTCTGATATGATGAATTTGAGATTTTAATTTGTTGTCATTTGTAATCATCAAAATTAAACAAAATAAACATCTGAAATATATGAGTTTGTATGTAATGTATGAATATAATATACAAGTTTCACTTTTTAAATGGAATTACTGAAATCAATCTACTTTTTTATGATATTCTAATTTTATGACCAGCACCTGTATATCATCTTGAGAAAAAGCTCTAAAAGGACAAGAAATGATTTGATAAGATTGAAATTGTAGGGATCTCCAACTGTGAGAAGATAAAGACGAACTCCTTAGCCAATGAACACATCGTTGCTGCCTCTACCTAACCCTACAATGTGATGACACCCAATCTGGGTAATGTTTTAAACCATGTCCTCCTTAAATTTGGTTTCCAGTTGGCCACACCTAACTCTGTCATCAAGACTAGAGATCTACTTACATACCCCACCAAAACCTGTGCAATGCCCTCCTCTCACAATCTTTCAGAGAAGTTCATTGTACTGTGGAATATGAATGGACAGTGATGACACCTTGCCTTAATATGAAGCAATTACACAAGGTGTGAAAGCATCAATGATTACTGGTGTCTTTGAAAAGGGCAAAAGTAGTCCCAAACACAGCTCCTTTTGAATGATTGTTGTAGATATAGTTTAATTTAAAGACCTGGTTTCATGAGAAAAGTCAACATTGGTTATAAATCTAGATTAACTTTCCCTGGACCCAGGGATTGTATTGGATATGGATCCAAATGATGACCAACACAGCAAGGGGAAATTTGGTATGATATTAAAGAATTGTGAAAATGGAAGGAATTAGTGGATATACTTTCAGACTGACAATTTTTTCTGATAGTTGAATAAAAAAAAGGTGAAAAGTGGGCCGGTTAGCTCAGCCTGGGCAGAGCGTGGTGCTAATAACGCCAAGGTCATGGGTTCAAGCCCCATACTGGCCATTTGTTTACAAGATTCTTGGATTGGACAAGAGCAGATTCAAAGAACACCTTCCTGGTCATGTAGGTGTTTGGCAAACAGAGATTAATGTACACTGGGACAATGTCATGCACTGTTGAAAGTGCATAATTGCCATTGCTTTAAAAGAGAGAGCAATCCATAGCCATCTTAACTCCCTCTTACAAAAATCAACCCAATCCAAAAAGGTAAACCATAGTTTCCCTATATTTTCATTAGCTGCATTGAAAAACAGA